AACAACTTCATTGCCTCCAACAAGAGCTGCACCCACTTCATCTACTGCAGCGGCGAGGATTCGTTCGAGGGCGAGTGCCCCGAGGAGAACGACTACTTCAATGCSCACCTGGCCATGTGCGAGCCCATGGAGGAGGTGGACTGTCGCACGGGCCTGCCCCTGCAGACCAACGAAGTGCAACAGATCACAGTCACTGAATTGCCCGTCGCGACTGTGACTGTCACGCAAACAGTGACCACAGCCTCGACTGCCCTCGATGTGAGCTCGGAGACTGTGACAGCCGCTGCGCCAGCGTCCACAGCGGCGAGCAGTGCCAGCAGCCAGCAGGTCGTCACCCTGGTGGCCAGCGAATGCCCACCGACCGACAACACCCACCAGATCGTGCTGCTGGCCCACGACAAATCCTGCACGGAGTACTTCATTTGCTATCACGGCAAGCCCCTGCCCATGACCTGTGCCGCCATGCTGCACTTCAATGTGCACACGGCCAAGTGCGACAAGGCCGAGGTGGTCAATTGCATGGTGAGTGTGTGGACATATACCCTATCWATCTATATACCATATCAATGTCTTCTTCTTAGCGCTCCACGATCAGCGTGCGCGAGCAGTGCAAGCAGCACACCGTGGACATCTATCCGCATCCGGACAACTGCAACTACTTCTACTACTGCMGCAACGGCTTCCTGATGCTGCAGCAGTGCCCCTTCTTCTATGGCTGGGACTATGAGAAGCGCTCCTGTGTGGCGATCGCACAAGCCAAGTGCTTTGGACGTCAGAGTCTCCTGATCTAATTTATAAACTAAAACTCTAATTTAAGTTTTATAGAAAATTCTTTAAATATAAATGTTACCCTGAAAAATCGCTTGCCTCTTGTGGGTCTAGGATAATGCATTGGGGTCTTGTATGGGGGTTTGGCTTAGCTTCGGTGGAAATATATTAAAAGATATTGATGGTACTTTTGGTTGAAAAGGAAAATTACTAAATTTACGATACCCAATTGAAGGTCACTCACTTACTTTTCCTTTTAAAGTTCTCGAAAATAACCTAAAATGCATTATCTATGATGATTCATGAGTATTGTGCGTTCCTTCGGTTATATTCTTATTATACATAACATCACTTCCGTTCTCTAGTAGAGTCAAAAAACTTACTACATGTAAAAAACATGATAAGATATCAGCAAAAAATATTTAAGAGAACATTCTATTCTTCTGACAAAAATCTAATCTATTGTTTATGTTTACAAAGAAAGAATAGAGAGATCAGTTAGCTTCTAGAAGAAAGTTAAAAAATCACATCATATTTATAAATGTGTTTGTAACAGTTTATTAAATATCTACAACTAATTTAAAGCAATTTTTGTAAGCATGTTCTTTTTATTGTTCTTATTTAGGGCAACATCAGTTTCTTGGTAGAACTTAACTCTAAGTTAAATCCTTGATCAGCTATGTTCAATTAGTTTACACGAATTTTTTCTGATAAATTCAATTAGAGCAAGGGAAATTCCCAACCACAGTTACCCATATATCTACTTTGTAGAACATGTTATTGAGAGATCACCTCAAAGCTATGAATCATTGCCAACAACGCGTGATAAAAAGTTGCCAGAAATCTACGTTTAACTTTGGGTAAGATCACCTGGTATTTCGCCATCCTAGACATTTTTCAGTTTATCACGGGTTCATTCAAGGTCGCACATCCGCATTTTTATCACTGCGTGTAGGAAATTCAGATATTGGAAATGGGCCAGCTATCTATATGT